CACTCACTCACTCACTCACTCACTCACTCACTCACTCACTCACTCACTCACTCACTCACTCACTCACTCACTCACTCACTCACTCACTCAACTTTTAAAAGAAACTGTGTAATATTGCTCAACCACTACATTTTATAATGCTGTACACTCAGACTAGAAGACTCAACTTATTGCTGGAATTACTTATATTTAGCATTCACAAATAAAATATTCTGATTTCCTGTAGCATCAATGGCTCAACACAAAAAACCGTCTATGATCATGAGGCTTAAGGGTAAAACACACAGGTGGCAAATGATGTGAGTCAAAAATAATGCCTCCAATAGTTTCTATTATGAGCCCTGAACTGGTAGCAGCTGGACACGGACCGACATTCTACACTGGTCAACACAGCTAAATTTTGTTAGTTTTTGTTTACATTCTTAAAAAAACAATTGTTTACCCCTGCTGCTTCACATACAGCTAAACACAGATATAGCCATATCAACAAAATACATTCTTCATTCATTTTAAAAGCAATAATAATAAAAAAAAATCTAAGGTCGTATTCAGACCTGACAATTTGGTCCGCTTTAAACGAACCAGAGTTTGTTTCCAGCATTGGTCGGGACCTTGTGTGCAGGTGTGAATACACTCATGCGAACTCTGGTGTGGATCAAACAACCAGACCGAGACCCGTTTCTTGAGGTGGTTTCGGTCCGCTTCCAAACGAACTCTGGTACGATTCGTTTCAGTTTGCGTCTGGAGTGAATACAGACCGGACCAGAACCAAACCATCTACATAAACCATGCGCCTTTTTGGACTTCACGGGCCACTGTTGCTAAGCATCATGGGAAACAATAGCATTATTGTTGTTGCTAATGCTAACACCACTGTTGCATGTACGCTAAAAACAATGAGTGTGGACAGACCTGGAACAACGAAGAGACACTGTGCCTCCTCGACATTTGGACGGATGAACACAACTAATCTTCTCGAGAAGACACAAGAATGCAGTCGTGTTCTCCATGTTTACCGAGAAAATGAAGGAGCGGGGTTTCAAGCGTTCTCCAGAACAATGCCGCATTAAAGTGAAAAAACTGTTCCAAAGTTACCAGAAGGCAAGAGACGCACTGAACAAGAGTGGAAGTTCAGGAGAAGAAAAAGACAAATGTCCGTGATTTGATGAACTTGATAAAATATTAGGAACAAGACCAACAGTTTGTCCTGTAGACATCATAGAAACGAACACCCCGCTGGCAGATAACACTTCATCAGAGAACACTTCATCAGATAATACTTCATCTGAAAGCACAACTTCCCCCTCCAACATCAGCAACTCCGTTTAAGTTGAGAACAATAGTAAGTGGGTTAATCTTTTGTGTTTCGTTATTACAGCTGTAAGCATCAAATGTTAATTTTTATTTTCTTTGTTATGGCCACTAACTACTTTGAATGAATAACAAAATTTCATTGATCGGGTTTTACAGTAAAAAGCTTATTGATATTTTATTTGGACTGTTTATGTCGCACCCTGTGTAAAGAAACAACAACCAAGCAGACAAATACCAGACAAACCTATTTCCATGTGTCAATTTGTATGCATTTGCGAAAATGTAAGCTATAATTTAATGAAATCTATTTTTTTTCTTGTATTTCACTTGTACAGATGAGGAGACTGAAGAACCCCCAGATGACACCGGTGACAGAGAGGACAGCAGTGCTTCACTCAGCGGTGATGGAGCAAATGGAAGTTCGTGGTGTTCAGGCAAGGAAGTACTTGAGCAGAAAGCGCAAAGCTGAAGCTTCWAAGTCTGACTCTGGGTTGCAAGATTTTGTCTTACAGCAAACAAAGCAGCTGCAACAGATGTTAGAAGCTGAACAAAACCGTCAAAAACAGGAGAATRTGGTTCTGGAGAATCTTATAAAGGCACATCAGGAGGCAGAGGAGAAAAGATTTCAAATGATGCAAGCCCAACACCAGGCACACACACAGATGGTCAGTCAGATAATGGGCACTGTTGTTAATATGATGTCCTTCAGCAGTCAAACACAAAATAATTCTACACAGCAAACCCACTTTTATCCCTCACAACCATCAAGTTCAACCCACTGGTTTCCAACAGCTTCTGGGTCTACATCTAGCAGCACTGTGTCYTTTCTTCAGTCCCCACAGCAGAACACACAATCCATTCAAGCACCTACATTCAATGCTGAAGAGAACAGACAAAATGATACACAGTACTCAACAAGTGTCAGACATCTTGCATAGAGTAAATTACAGTCAGCATTTCTGTGACCTGTAGATTGGATATTTCCACAGGTAGGATTGTTTTCACTACCTGCTAGTTAACAGTTTTGTTTGAATGTTAAAGTTTGTTCTACAGAATATTTTAACAAGTCTAGTTTTTATTTTAAAATCTTTTGTCTGTTTGCTATTCTTTATTTTCATATAAAGCTTTTGCGTAAATGGTATGTACAGTTTTTATTTAACGGGATTTGTTTAAGTTGTACAAGTAGTAGTTTGTGCTAAAGGTTATTTATACAAGACAATACATATTTTTGAAAACATTTTTTGTCTGTTTACTGTTCTGTACTTTCATATAATGCTTATGTGTACATGGTATGTACAGTTTTTATTTAACAGGATTTGTTTAAGTTGTACAAGTAGTAAAAATAAGAGTTTGTGCCACAGATTGTTTATACAAGACAATACATTTTTTTGAAAACATTTTTTATTTTGTCTGTTTACTGTTCTTTACTTTCATATAAAGCTTATGTGTACATGGTATGTACAGTTTTTATTTAACAGAATTTGTTGAAGTTGTACAAATAGTAAAGAGAAGAAATATTTTGTTAAATGTTCAGTTTTAAAACATAAAAAATAAAGTCTGTAGTCACAAACATCTGTAAGAGCAATCTATATGTTACAGTCTTTGAAATTATCTTACTGTGATTTCTTACAATACACACACACAAAAAAAAAAAATACTTTAGAACCTTGAAAAATGAACTGACAGAGCATTTCGGATGTCCTGAGGCCTCTGGACTGGAACCTACGCTGGAAGCTCTCCACCTCAGTCACATGCTTCATCAATCCTGTTCTTCATTTTCTTCTATGTATTGCTCATGAAGAACTTCACAAAAATTATGCAAGACACAACACGCTAAGATGACTTGACTAATCAGTGAAATGTGTGACTCATTTTGTTTCAGGAGGCATCTCCAGCGCCCTTTGAGGTGCCCAAAAACTCGTTCCACTGACATTCGTGCCTGGCTGTATATGTAGTTAAAGTTACTTTGATCAACAGTCATATCTCTGCTCTCTCGGAATGGCTTCATAAGCCAGGGGAGTGATGGATAGGCAGCATCACCTAAAATTAAAAAAGGAACATTTACTCCTTCAATTGTTTCATTCCAATGTGGAAAAAGTTCTCCCCTCTCAATCTGATCAAATAGAGAGTGTAAAAACTCGAGCATCATGCACTCGTCCTGGTTGCCCAATGTTTACATCCCATATTCTCATTTT